ACATCTTGTTCTAATTCTCTTTTTAACAGTACATCATAAAATTTGGAGGTCAATCTTTGGCCATTTTGTTTTATCACTTTATCTAACTCATTTTCGGTATCTTCAAATCCTTCTTTCTTATAATCTATTTTGACTCTATCTATTGTGTATATAGAAACCAATGAATATTTATATCCAACTCTTTCAAGTACTCTATTGGTTTCATCTCATATTTTCCTCCCCTCTTCTTTTTAAAAATATCTTGGTATCTTAGCCAGTCCAGTAGTTCTCGCCATCTTCCAAAAAAAGCTTCCTGCAGTGACACCCATAATGGCAGTTTTCTATAAAAAAAAATTCCTTTTGTTGTAACCAGCCGGAAGAGATGCCAAAGAGGTGCACCACGACTCTTGTGGCACCCCTTTCACGGCTTACAGAAGGAGTGCTATTTTAGCGCTCCTTTCGCAGGCGGCGGAAGGGAGGATCGGGGCCAAGGCGTCCGGCAGCCTTGGCCTCAATCCTCCACTTCCAGTGTCGGCCCAGGGCCGCCCGTCTGCTTTCCCCTTTGTTCACGAACTGTGCAATATCCATGCATTTATCAGTATTCTGTTGTTGTCCAGAGAGAGAGAGAGAGAGAGAGACATGGGCCTCGGCAGATGGCTAATTGCACTGTCCTCAAGGCAAGGAAGAGGAGGGGCAGCCGCACGCTCGGCGCCCCTTCCTCCTCCCGAGGTTGCCCTCAGAGGAGCCGGCCCTCTGCATGGCCGGCGCTCCGAGGGCAACCTCCCGCCGCAGCATCCGCACACGCTGAGGCGGATGTCAGTGAAAGTGCGCCCTACACTTTTAGGGCACACTTTCACTGACTTCTGAAAGGAGCGCTGGTTTTGCGCTCCTTTCAGAGGTGCCGACGGTGCGCCCTGCCTTTTGTCAAAGACTGGGAGTCTAGGCAGCAATCTTTTAGGCAACATGACCTGAACCGCATTTCCATTTCAGGAAACACTATTTGCCAAACCACTGTCTACATCAAATTGGATTGCTGAGTAATTGTGATTCCCTGCCCCATCCTTGTAAGCGCATCCACTACATCTTATGCTTTGCTGGTGTAAGGGGTCCATCTTGGCTAGTGCATGCATTATAAGCAGAATTAGAACTGTTCCATGCCAGAATCTAAAGGCATCTCTGTGTCCTTTTAAAAGATGTGGCTGTATGTGCACACATGCATATTTAAAATGTGCAATAGAATAGCCTTCACAGCACTTTTACAGGCAATGTAATATTGAGTGATGTGGTTGTTTAAGCTGTATTTAAGCTGTACTACTTCTACCCATAGGCCTAAGAGAAGCTCAAAGGGCAGCAGCTAGTTTAAGAAAATGGCATAGGAGGTGAATCAAGCACCTTCCCCTAAGCCTAATATTTTAGGATTTTGGACTACAACTCTCAAAACCCCTAGTTAGCATATCAGAGAGCTACAGATAATTAAAAAAAAAAAAACCTGACTTTTCCAAGCCTAGCTATTCTCCCGGTGCCTTTATTATAAACAGGTTTAGAGTTCCCAGTGGCTACGGTGTTATTTATCATCTATTTATTTATTGTGTATTTGTTTCTATATTTAGATTCTGTCTTCTAAGAAATTCAAGCCAGTCAGTAGATCTCCTCTGTTCTAGTGTATCCACACAATGAGATAGGCTGAGAGAGATTGAGTTTCATGACTGACTTGGCATTTGAACATGAATCTCTACAACTATAAACTAATATTCTAATCAGTAAAGCATTATTAATACTAAAAATCAAAGAGCTTCATCATGGCATGGAGTGTCACCACTGTCATCTTCTTTTATCATCTTCAAACAAGACTGCTGATGTGGACCCTAGGTGTCCTCCCTGCAGCATAATTCCCACATCTCACCCCATCCCCACCATTCATTATTTGGGAAGAGAAATCCTGCTATGGACATTGGATCAGGATTCACAGCATACAAATTATACACAAAGAGGCTTTAATGTTTTTTTTTAAATGTTGATGATTCAGTGAAGACAATGGCTAGAATCCTGTTGGGGACTTACGTCTTCATAAGTGGACCTGCATATGCAGGAATTAGAATTGTGCAGTTGTGTAGCATCCATATCCAGCAGAGGGCTACCATTATATTACTATACATAGCAAAGCCAGCAAAATGTCTAATGCCCAATGATGTCCCATCTGCAAGGGACCAATCATAGAATCATAGAGTTGATGCACACTGGGCACCAATGCACGTTTAGGACCCTTGCTGGTGTCTCATCATGCATCTTCACAATTCAGTAAAGGGATTCTTGGAACCTCTGCTACATAGCTAAATATACATAAATTTATATAACGTAACAGGTTATATAGGATTCTGGTGACTGCTTGCACTGGAATGATTGAAAAAAGGAACACCAGCAGACACAACTAATTTGACACACACATCCACAGAGGAAAGAGGAAAGGGAATTAACCAAACATAACTGCAGTGGATATGCCCTTAGAATATGTAGGCCAAATACATTCAACTCAATGATTCTACTCTAGTTAGTACTAACAGTAGGATTAGGTCCAGGATTTTATTTCTTATATTTGTGGAGGTCACATTGTGCATCCACAAACTGATACTGGGCATAAGAGTTTTCAGAATTAAAGATGCCACTATTCTTTGATAACTGAGACTGAAAGCAATAAAATAGTAATATCACCACCAGCATAAAACTAAACATTTGGTGGTGACTCAGGTTTGAAATTCTGTTCAGTAGCTTTTTCACATAAATGGGACTCAAGGTAAGTAGTCCTGTCCCTTCATGCTCATCTTAGAACTTTACTAGTTCATGCCTCTGTACATCTTACCTTGAGTCATCTTCTTCTGAAAGACTATGGTTGCAATTTTGACTGAATGTGTTTCAGTAGGAACATTTTCTGAGACTGCATCTACACTGCAAAATTAATGTAGTTTGACACCGATTTAATTGCCATGACTTAATGGTATGGAATTTTGGGAATTTTAGTTTTGTGATGTATTTCACTTTCTCTGTCAGAGCTCTTGTGACACAACAAACTATAAATCCCAGGATTCCATAGGATGGAGGTGTAACAGACAAAGTGGTGTCAAGCTGCATTAAGTTTACAGTGTGGCAGCAGCCTAAGAAACATAAGTGATACTCCTATGTCAAAATATTGACAGAATGAAATGTTTGTTGTTGTTTTTCACTTTGTGTTTCAGGGAGCACTGGAAGAATTGGTACATTTGTAACTATTGTGATTCTTAGATGGCTGTCCTCAAACTACCTAAACAGCAAACACCAGAGACAGAGGAGATTATCACATGGGGTAAGGAAGGATTGCTCCCATACTTGCACCATCCTTACCTCATCCATATTGCATCTGTGCTTATCCATTCCTTCTCCTGTTGGTGTCCCAGTCATTGAATTAATGGGAGTATCCACTAATAAACAGTGACAGGGCCATGCCACTTCAGTGACAGGGGAAGGAGGGGATAAACGCAATGTTGTCTGGAAATCTTATTGCGATCGCGTGATAAGGATGACTTCAGGATGGGATAATGACAGATGTCATCTG